TCCCACTATAAACTCTCACATATTGTAACCTAATGTGTTTGGTTTTTCTGTGCAGGCACTTTTGCATGCTTCTGTTGCCTATAATCGTAAGCTTGTTGTGGACTGGGTTCCAGCTGGTGATCTTGAAGATGTTTGTGATGAAGAGGTGATTACTAACCTTTCTGTCCACTGATGGTAACTAGCCATTTGTTTTTCTGCATAGCAGACCTCTAATAATTAAGTTTCTGCTTGCAGACTCCGGATACATATAAAGCTGCTTGGGATCTTTTGAAGGTCATCATCCTACTTTATGGACTCCTAGTTGATTGTTTATCTACATTTTCATGTTTTCTTTTCAGTGTTAATAATGCACATCTGTTTAAATGTATTTAAATGTGAGATTATCTTTGTCAGTGTGATCTGAATGTTATTATGTTGCAGGGTGCTAATGGGATTCTAGTTCCTGGAGGTTTTGGTGATAGAGGAGTAGAAGGGAAAATTCTTGCTACTAAGTATGCTCGAGAAAACAATGTGCCATTTCTTGGTATTTGTTTGGGAATGCAAATTGCTGTTATCGAATTTGCACGATCTGTTTTGGGTGTGCATGATGCTACTAGTACAGAGTTCGATCCTGAAACCAAGAGCCCTTGTGTCATATTTATGCCAGAGGTATACTATCCCTCACACCCGAGCTAGTACTAGCATTTTTTTAAAAACTTTGTTGAGCTGGTTTTTTTTCCTATTGACAGGGTTCAAAGACTCATATGGGGGGAACCATGCGTCTTGGTTCAAGGAGGACTTACTTCCAAGTTGCCAACTGCAAATCTGTGAAGTTGTAAGAACTAAGAACTGTGCTCAAGCTTATCTAAATTCACATAACCATACATTGCATCTCCTAAGGGGTTACCACACTTAAAGATGTACCCTCAAACTTGGTATTAGTTTCTTGGAGAAATATTTAATGTTTTATCCTAAAAAGCAAAGGTAATTCTTCATTGCATGTATCACAAGACGTATTTAAATATGGTTTGCTAATTCTTATCAATTACATCAAAATTGATATTTATGTTTAATAATATACGATGGATTTTTTTGCAGGTATGGTAATGTAAGCTACATTGATGAGCGGCATCGTCACCGATACGAGGTAAAATAAGTTTGTATGTAGAAAATACTTTCATATACGAAGAAGAAATGGTTCAGCTAAAGTAGTTGTCACACTGTGCAGGTTAATCCAGACATGATATCACAGCTAGAGAGTGCCGGTCTATCTTTTGTAGGTAAAGATGAAACAGGGAAGCGCATGGAGGTATATTTTAACTTGAGATGCTAACAATCTGTCGTGGGAATAATCTCAAAAACTAATCATCTACAACCATATTAATTATGCATGTAAATTACGCTAGCGCAGATAGTTGAGCTGCCTAGCCATCCTTTCTTTGTTGGTGTTCAGTTTCACCCTGAGTTCAAGTCTAGACCAGGGAAACCTTCTCCGCCCTTTCTAGGTACTTTCTTCATGCTCGCTAGATATCTCTTGCCATCCACATTCTTCTGCTGATATATTTTATACAATTATGGAATACACCTGTAATCAAGGTTACGTTTGTTGTACCGTTTCTGATTATCATACTATGGATGATATAATTGCCATATTGTCCTTCTAATTGTTTTAGAAGTCTATTGCAATAATGATGGTTTTTTTTTCTTTCTTTCTCCATATATGCTTTGGTTACACATAGTATTCTTTTGTTTGTTTATTAGTGATGCATCTTACCCTTGGAATCATATCTCTTGAATTATACTGAGATGAAAAGATGATGCAACAACTTAAAAGGATTCTATAGATTCTTTCAATAGCTTGTTCTATGAAACAATAGCCTTATTGACATAATAGACACTTGCGTGGGGACAAGAGTGAAAATTTATGTACTAAATGCTTCATTTTTAGGCTTGTCTTTTCAAGTGCATATCTTTTTGGTGATCTTAATGAGTTTAAATAAAAGGGACTTACTTCTGACATGCAAAGAGATTGAACTGCTTATTGACAGCAATCTGTTCCATTTTCAGATAGACTTTTTCTGATTTAAAGACATCATATTCACTAATAATTTTCTTTCTGTGTCTCAGAAATATTTACTAAATGCTTCATTATTTCCACAGGATTAATAGCTGCAGCGTGTGAAATGAGGCCAGTTCTGCCACCAAATGGCCATGTCAGTAAGTTAGCTAATGGGATATATAATGGACACTTACCGAAGACAAAAGCAAATCTTCAAAACGGAAACATGTTCAAACCTACCAACGGCGCCTTAAACGGCAGCGTGTATACCAACGGCAACGGTAGATACAATGACGGGAGTTGGTAATTGTCTGGTGTTTGCCGCTTCTTACCTGTAGGATGTTAATTCGGTTGTCCTCGGTTGCTCTGTACAGTTACTGAGTGGGGGTAGTTGCTTTAACTCTAAGGGGACTTATCTAAAAGATGAAACAGATTTTTGAGTCTAACAGCTTTTGAGTCCAAATTGACAGGCTGAAGGAAAAAAGTTCTCCTTCAACTGAAAGTGTCTTCTTTTCTGAGTGGTTTTTGTTGGCCTTAGAGAGAGAATGTACGCAGTCCTAGGTACATGTTGTGAGAACAATGAATTTGAATTTTGCTGTTTAATGCTATTTTTTTCACAAGGAAAATGAAATGTTATATTGAGTTCTTAGGAGCTAGCTGTTCATGACTAGTTTTCATAGGCCACTTTGCCTTGTGGTCTTTTCTTTTGTATTGTTGGATAACTTAAGCAAATTTGTTTATATTTTTTATGCAAAAGTATGATATGTGCATACGTAGACATAAGGGTGTTCAAAACCAATTTAAATCAATCACACTGAATCGAATCAAGCCAATCTGAACCTAAGGTTTGGTTTGGGTTTTTTTTTTTTTTGATAGGAAAACTAATTAGTTTAGTTTGGTTTAGCAAATTTTATTATTTTTATATATATTTTTATAAATTTATCAAAGTTTTTTTTCCTTTTCCAAGTCTAATTATTTGTAAATCATTAGTAAAAATAAGCTACAATGATTTTAATCAAATGTTTTAAAGAGGATACATTGATTTTTAATAGTTAAATATATTAATTAATTGTTTAAAAAAATATTTTTTTGTGCTCAATCGATTTTTTCATTGCAAATGACAATTAAAAGTTAAAAATTATTAGTGAATTTGAAAATACATTGTGAATTGTGATTATGAAGAATATTTTATTAGAAAAGTTCAAACTTAATTTAAATTTAAATTAAATTAAATCAAATTGTTCAAAAACTAAATTAAATTGACTAAAGAAAAAAATTGAATAGATTTCAAATTATAGTAAACCGATTGGTTTGGTTTGATTTGGTTTTTTTTCAAAATCAAATCAAATCGAACTTGTAAACACTTATGTTAAGGCACACAATAATTTAACATTACATTTTTATCTCAGCAAAACTGTATTTTATAATTTTAAATGTTATGTTTTTTGAGTTTGGATTCTTTAAAAGAAACTTGCAGAGTGCTTATAAAACAGGTCAACCAAAACATATTGAAAGAGGTAAAAGCAAGATTTAGATATTTAACCTTATATATTTCATGCATTTTTATTTAATTAAATTAAAACTAGTGAATTTTAATGAGTTAGTAATATTAATATCAGGAATTTTTCATGGAATAAATAACATAAATGATTATGTGTCTTGATTTAATTAAAAATAAATACATTAGGTACATAAACTTAAGTGTACAAGTTTTTCCCAATCTGGGCGTACGATTTCATTACTTGCATTATTCTCTTTCTCATTTAAAAAATAATGTATCTTCAGAAGAATCGAATCAAATTCCATTCAACTAAGAAACATTTGGGGGGGGGGGGGGTAAAAAATTGGGACATCTACAAATACAGCGTCCACTGATGTTGCTGCAAACTTGATTCTGGCACCGACATTCTGTTGGTACCATTTGAAAAGGCCGAAAAGGATTTCCAATGTCAACTGCGCAATTATTCTTATTCTATTTTCAGATTCTCAAGTGACAGTTTCTTCTGTGCACAATGAGGCATATTCTTAGCTGCTACCTGTAATCTCTCAGTGTTACTGACATTGAAAAACATCATAAGTTCGTACTTTTCTGTCTTCTAGGTTGTTTCTCTCTTTCTATCTTCGCCTTTTTCCTCATACGGTAGACTCCAAAATTAAATGCAGATTTCATGTATAGTCAACAATTGGAAACTACATGGTTTATTTTGATAGACTATACGGTTTTATAATTTAATTTTTAGTTCAACAGGCAAATATCTAAAAATAAGAAATACTAATTGCACTGTCATTTCTCATAACTATTACAGCACTCACCACTTTTAGGTTATAAAATAAAGCCACTGCCATAGTTTATAGAAGGAATTAGTTTGGCCAATATATGGATATAAACATGTATCAATGTATAATTTTTTTTCTATAAAAGGAACACAAGTTTTAACTATGAATATTTGTGACAAACAGAAAAAAAAAAAATTATTGCAGTAAGCTTAATGATAGGGGAGAGTTTCAATTCTTCGATTAGAATTCAGAAACTCATACAAAACAACAGTTGTTTTTCTTCAGAACTTCAAGAAAAGAACGCAGAACAAAACACTTGATGATCTTAAAAAGTTAAAAAGTTTCTCATTGACCATAAAATAAAGTCGCAAATGGTGTTTGTTATGGTTACCACTGGTGTTTAAAATTAAATCTAGTCTTCTAAATGTCATAAAAGGTATTTTCAACTGAAGCAAACAGACTCAAACTCAAGACATTTGTGAAATCAGGAAGATAGGAAGCATTACTGGTAATTTTAAGAAGCGTATTGTAACATCCAAAAAATCAAGTTGTAAATAACGAGTAAGAATGGCAAGTTAATGAAGCATTAATTCTATGATACTAAAGTGAAATTTTATTTTTAAAATCTTTAGCTGTCATTAGCCACCATTTTCTTAATGCTATCCTGACATTAACGCACTCTGAATTCCTCAATTCTCCCTATCAATCTGAATATGAAACTTGAATATTACAGCAGCTATTGCAGAAAAGGAAAGTTTACAGATTCATAACCTCATGGAAGATATATAAATAAACATAAAAAATATTATAATGAACATAGGCATATAGGATTTGAAGCCACCTAAAGTTTTAGCTTTGGAAAATCCGAAGACTTGTCTCTAATGGACTCAACAGACCAATTTACCATGTCACTGTTAGAATCAATTGGGGATATGCGTAAAATCCTGTCGTGATACTCGCACAAGGTTTGCCTATGGCCAATACTGATATACGTTACACCTGCTGCACTAATCTTCTGGTACAAATAAGCCTGCAAGCCATAACACAACAAAATGAACTTAAGATAAAGATTAATTCATCGTTCATTGCAATGCAAGCCTAGTGTCTTTAGATCCCAACAGAAGGTCTGGTCACAAATAATATCACAGCCAGCTGATTACACAATTTTAAGAACCAGGCAATTTTGATGGGCAGTTCACCAGGACCTAGATCAAATGCCATTTGACCTTTCTCTGCCTATTTGATATATAGAATAAAAATGAATGGAAAGAAAAAGTGACTTCGAGGAAATAAAATGTTATGGAGTCCTTACTTTGAAAAGTAAAGACATAGGATAAAACCTATGAATAATAGTTACAAGAGTATAGCCACCTAGAAACAGCTCAGATGGTAGTAATGGGAAGGGGTATAGGTAATGGCCACACAGCCTCGTAATGTAACCAAAAAAATATTTACCAGACTAAAAATGACATTACAGAATGAGGAAGGACACGGAACCTTTCCTTTACCAAACGGGATGTTTTTTCACCCTCACAACAAAATCTTTTATTGCGGCTTAATTTCTTTTGTCTTTCCCAACCAAAACAAAAAAGATGTGGAGGTCTGTGCTTTGTTCAGGTTAAAAATCCCAAGGAATTATGTTAAATATTTTAATAAACTATTCACTGAAATTCACTAAATAGTTTAAGCTTTTAATAAAGTAGGATTTTGAAATCATGTAAAGGCATACATGACTTTTGAAATCATGTAAAGGCATCCCATGTATGCTAATGAGACTCGAGTATTCCAGTACTAGATATTATGGCTTTGCTCATTTTATTAATGGTACCAGAATCTATGCACACAAGAATAGAGGGAATTATCTAGACAGTTCTTCAGTAGTTGAATGCTTATGTTTTGTGAACATAATAAATCCTAATTATAGCCCGTAATTGAAGAGTACGACCTTCATTGTGTGTGTGTGTGTGTGTGTGTGTGAGGCTAAAAGAAATGTGTCAGCAAGACTTGGAATTGATGAATATACCTCATTAGCTTCATCAAGTGCACTTGTAGATTCATCCAACAAAACCAATTTCGGTGTTGAAAGCATAAGACGGGCAAAAGCCAGGCGTTGCTGCTCTCCTAGAGAGAGAACACTAGACCATTCCTGTATCGACTCCAAGCTAAACCGAGCCAATAAATAACCTAGACGGACATCCTCTAAGACCTTTATCAGCTCATCTGTTGTTGGCATTTCAGGCTTTTTATTCCTATTATCTGAGTCCGGTGATTTCATCAAGAAAGGCAATATAGCTGTAGAACAAGTGAAAATACATACTCAGTAATCTCCTAATCATATAATACCAGTCATAAGTCAGATTGAACTTTGAAAAATGACTAAAACTTTGGCACCACAATACTCAAAAGAAAAAGACAGATCGTGTATTTTTTGTTGCAACCTTGAGTCAATTATCAGGTTTTACCATTCCCAGCACATTTATATGTACATGTTGGTTAGGTTTAGTTTGCTTTTGAAATTAATTATATTGGTTGTGCTGACTTGACCAAGGTTGAACAACAAATTTTTTTTGTCTATCAAGTCTCTTTCAGCTTTATCGCCAAAAGAACTCAGCTATGAATAATAAATTTACATGTTTCCAATTTAAAAAATTTGTTCAACTAAACATTTCCTTAAGAACAGAATTTTCCCCTTGACATGGAATCATTACAAATCCTCCCACAAACAACTACAAGAACGTATATGGTACTCTTGTTATACCTGTAGTCTCTAGATATTATTTCCAGTTACTCAACTTGAATTCTCTTCAGTCACAAAAGTGGCGGCATATAGTTCATTGGGAAAGATGAGTGTAAAAAGGAGTAGACCTCAAATGGCCACACTCTTCTATGTTAGCCTCACTCCAAATGCATAATTGCATGACTATAGAGGATTTAATTTGGCATTCACCATGTCAGACCCGCATACTAAAATCATGATGCTAGTAAACTGTAGAAGAAATAACTATTATTTGTCTCAATAATTGCAGTCGAGCAAATGGAAATTAGACAGAACACAGAAAACCAATATGCACTAGAACAAGAAAAAAAATTAAAAAATTAAGCAGTAAGTGTAGAAGAAAATATATCATAGTGATATGGTGCAAGAAAAGAGATTAGATATGGCATACTTCTTGCTTTAGTATTGTCCGGAGCAGGAATAGCATCATCAGCCCATGTTGGATAAAGTAACTGTTGACGAAGAGAACCCAAGACCATATATGGCCTTTGAGGAAGGAAAAATGTTCCAGAAATTCTGTCTAAGGATTTTCCATATACTTCATATGCATCGCAGTCATCATTTACAGTGGGAGTATTTATATCTAAGGAAATGGGCTGCTGCAGATCTTCCCCATCTTTCACATAGTATGTGATTTTTCCAGTTCCAGTGTTCCACAGACCAGCGAGAGCTCTTAACAAAGAAGTTTTACCACTGCCACTAGGTCCCATTATCTGTTAAGTTGATTAAATTGCAAGTTTATTTTAACATCCTTACCAACACAGTAATGCCAAATTATTATTTCTGGGTGTTGGATTCTAAACGAATTGCTTACCAATAAATGATCCTTTCCCTTGATTTTCAATGACAAATCTCTAACAAGAATGGCTTTGCTGGGTGTTTTCAGAGTCAAGTTTTCTATCTCCAGTAATGTTTCACATTTTTCTGGAGGTGTGGATCCATTGGAATCCAATACAGATGACCTCTCAACATTTTTGTATGAAATACATATCTTTTCCAATGTATCAGAGAGAGATTTGGTGCTGCTGCTAGTTTCCAGAATATCATCAAATTCACCTGCATATACAAGAGAAAGAAAGTGTTTTCAAATGGATTCATATAGTCAATCAAGCATCTCATTTCCCAGGTTCAGCATATAGCATGATTGATCAATCACACCACTGAAACAATTTGAGAGGGAAAATAAACTTACAAGTATATAATCAGATTAAATGGGAAATTTAGCAGACGGAATAGATGAATATTTTACGCATTTGCACAAGATAGAAAGAAAAAGCAATACACACACATTTCAATGAAAAGACAAAGACTCCCAGCAACATTCAAAATAAATCTATTACTGTCTCCACCGTATATTTCATTCAAATGATATAAAAAATAGGGGACCACTGATTGGAAGACATGCAAAAAAAAAGGACAGTTATAATAGTTTCATGAATAATTTAACTTCATTTCATCATGATTGAAAATCATGACAAAGGGGGAAAATGGATTTCGAGTAGTTGTTTTCCCCCTTACTTTTGTGGGATTTCTCCTTTTTGTCCAAATGCAGCAAATTGTACTGGGAAAAAAAGTAAATGGAAAATATAAAAAATTTATATTTCATTCAAATGATATGAAAAATGGGGACCACTGTTTGGAAGACATACAAAATAAAGGACAGTTACAATAGTTTCATGAATAATTTAACTTCATTTCATCATGATTGAAATTCATGATAAAGGGGGGAAACGGATTTAGAGGAGTTGATTTTCCCCTTACGTTTGTGGGATTTCTCCTTTTGTCCAAATACAGCAAATTGTACTAGGAAAAAATAAACGGAAAACATTAAAAAAAAAATATTTCATTCAAATGATATGAAAAATAGGGACCACTGGTTGGAAGACATACAAAATAAAGGACAGTTATAATAGCTTCATGAATAATTTGACTTCATTCATCATGATTGAAATTCATGATAACGGGGGAAAATGGATTTAGAGCTGTTTTATCCCCTTACTTTTGTGGGATTTCTCCTTTTGTCCAGATGCAGCAAATTGTACTAGGAAAAAAAAAATGGAAATAATGCAGTACCTAGCCGATTTATAACAGCAGAAAATGCACTTATAGCTTGAAACTGGTACACAATGAGGGAAAAGTCGCTAAGGATATGATTAAAAGCAGAGACTGACTGATTAATGACCCCAAACTCAATTTTTCCTGAGAAATACATGGGAGCAATAACAGCAACAGGAAGGACTTGAATGAGATAGCGGTAGCCATTGGTGAAGAACTCCAAATTTCTAGAAGCTATCAGCAATTCCTGCAATCCAAGGAAGATCTAACTTATTTCTATTCATTAATGTATTGATAGTTAAAAAATTAAACTGCATTGCCTAGCTTATAGTAAGAAAATGTTGAATTTTCAATGATAAAAGTAAAAACGACACTGCTGAAAGGTTGCACTCTGTGTTCAGTGAGAGTTAAAATAGAAACCATTCTATCAATTGTGTGAAAAGTGAAAGCCTGCAACCATATAACTCAACAGTAGCAAAATATAGGCGTTTTAGTGATATAGGATGAAATGCAACCTGGTGCTTGCATACCAATCAGCTCAAATTATCTAACTCCAAATGATTACGATTTAAGCCTAACATAATTCTCATAAGAGATTGATTGTTCAACCAGAAAATGAAATCACGAGGATCAAAGGCTCAACTAGGGTACACTGGGGTCCGTGTCAATAAATTTATATGATTTACATATGATAAGTTCTCAGTTATTATGGGATAATGAAACAGTAGGCAACTTCTTTATTAGAATATAAGTCAGAATCTAATCTCACAAACTCAAAAAGCCCCAGAGAATCTCCAGAATTCATAGGATATTGACTTCATAACTTTAGATACTTAATAACTGCCCTTATGTAACAGAAAAAAAATAAGGAAAAGTGCACAAGACAACTAATAATAACAGAAAGCAAACAATTGACATCAAGACATGACACCTGGACATCTGACAAAGTTAACTGACCTAACAACACTAAAAAGACTAACAACACATGAGAGAAGTTAGTAAAATAGAAATAACTCTCTAATTTCCATTTATGAACATATCAGATCCATATCTTCCTTGTTTTCCATCCAAGCTCTATTCTTCCTTGGGCTACAGGAAATTATTTGTGTTATACTGTATATATTATTGATGCTGCAGTTGTGTGCATGTTCATGCAAACATGCATGTCACGTTCGTGAGTACATGTGTTTATCTAAAGTTATGACACTAAAGCTCTAGCCTTTTCTTGTGGACACACTTTCTGCCACAATGGCGTGGCAGATATTGGCTTTTCAGATGATTTTGTGCTGACTAACAATATAGAATAAGTAGAAATGGCATACCCTTGGCCTCTCTATATGCTGAAAAACTACATTTTTGACTTCTGGTGATTTTAAGCAGTGAACAAAAGAGAAACAAAGCATTAAGTAATAAAAACCTAAGAAGCAAAGCAAGTTCTACTCAATAAAATGTCTATGATGTCCTGTACAGAAAATGATAAAGGACGAGGAGGAGAATATCTTACAGTTAGATTGTCAAAGGCGCTTTTGAAGCGCTGCAGAAGAAGTTTCATTTCACTTTCTTCACCACCATAGAAAGCAACTGATTCAGCATTTTCCCGAATTCGCACTAGCCCATAACGAAAATCTGCTTCTTTTTTCTCTTGGAAGAAATTTAAGTTCACCAATCCCTGTCAATGTAACAATCTGCCATTAATAAAAATGGCAATATTTTAAAGTTACACATTTTCATTGTTTCAGTGGGCTGGGGAAGAGAGTGGGGAGGCAGAGTTTTTCCCAAAAAATTCAAATTATCAATTGAAAAAAAAATAAAAATAAAATAAAAAAGATTCTTACCTTTCCAAGGAAAACACTGATAGTAGTCCCACCAATGGAGTATGCAAGAAGAACAACAAAGAGAGGAGGATAGATGCCGTACAGGATGTTACTGAATGAGATTAAGTCTACTGCAGCATTAAAGAGCGTCAGAGAGAAGGCGATGGCTGTCCCAGTAAAAGAACTTAGATCATCAACAATTCGCTGGTCTGGATTATCAATGATTGACTGTGACTGAATTTTATAGAATGTCCTATTTTTAAGATAACGTTCCATGTAAAAGCTTGTCATCCAAGATCTCCATCTCAAAGAAAGGGTTTCCCTTGCATAGTCTCTCAGTACAAAAAACTATGACGCAATGATGAACAAGGTTAGAAAAATCTGTACAAAAAAGAAACACAAAAAACTAGAAAAAAAAGCACAAAGAAGAATGTATGCATAATACTCACGCTAAACTTCATTTTAATTACAGAGAACCTGCTAAGTAACTTGGAAAACTGCAAGCAACTTTTGCTCATGTAGTTCCTTTACATTATTCTTTCTTAACAGGGGATAGAAACTTCATTTCTTTAGTATGAAAGCTAATAATTTATTCATTCCAAAAATAAATGTTGATTAAGCCCACTTCCATAAAGGTAGGAAAAAAGTAATGATGATATTTAAGTCCTCATACAGCAGGTGAAGGCCAGAATGTGGCAGAATGTAACTATTATGTTCCACCAAAAAAAAAAAATGTAACTATCACAGTTACATCAATGTTTTCTAATTCATATAAGTTCTCTCTCATCTTATGTTTCTTTCCCAGCTCCATTCGCCTTGAGAAGAAAATTTTTATCATCATTGGAAGAACTAAAGCAAAGTCTAGCAGAGCTATACCTAAGAAAGTGCAGCTATGTGCTCACCGGGATTCCTGTAGCAAAGCCACCCAAGTAGTAAAGTAGTTGCCTCGTGAACTGCTCCTGGTCCTTGTCTTGCAATAATAAACTTAAACTATTTCAGTTATTTTTTGCCACTTCAAACTTGATCAAATAATCAAGGGTAAACAAAATTTGATTCAATTTTTATATGACCATTCAGCATTAGTCCCTCAAAATTATTATGTGCAAAAGTTAGTTTACTCAAAAAATAAGTGCAAAAGTTAGAACATGAAAATAACAAACTCATGTAGCCATTAACTTGTTTAGTCACGAGCTGTTTTAGATTAAAGTTGAGCTAGACTATGGGCCCCAAGTTTTGCAGAGTCTAAAACGGGCCTAACAGTTAATAACTTAGGAAAAGTGCAATTTTTATGTAGATTTTATATCATATACCGACAAGTTTAACAATTTAAGAGCCAAATAATACTCAATGATTAACCAGCCAATAAATTACATACTCTCAAAGGGTTCATGAAAGGATAAGGATATGAGGACGGTTGAGCATTCATATATATGATAACTTACTGGCAAGTGCATTATAGAAGTCTCTCCCAAGGAAATTGAAGCCTACACTGATACCAGTAGTAGCCAAAGTGAGAGCAAAAACACCGGCAAGTTGTAATCTCGCTTGAACTTTGTCGTCTGAAGACCAATAAGGAGCAGCCACTTTCCAAAACCTTCTAAAAAGAGTTTGTAAATCCTGGTCCTTATTCTGCTGCTGTAGCTGCACTTCAACACATTCCTTCCACTTTTTAACTCTATTCTCAATCATTTCAAGCACAAATCACAAAGAGACATGAATAAATTACACTTTTCATCTTTGAAAGATCAGAAAATTCCCAATTTTGTCATCCAAAGAGAAAGTCTATCTCTTCCCTGTAGACTAACTATCCCGCCTATCTCAATAGAATGGATTTGTAATTGTTTTAAAACGATGAAACGGTGCCTCCTCATTGCCAAAAGAACCGGTCAATAAATTTTTGAACTTTCTACAACATTTCTGGAAGCTAGGCATCACCATTTCATCCCATAATGGACGCATAAAATCCAATTGGAAGTAACAAAATTGAGAACTCCATAATTTTTAAAGAGAAAAACTGTAATTTACTGAAGAAAGAGCACGAAGTGAAGAAAACCTTATCTGGGTCCGGCGGCAAAGGACTAGCCGTAGTTGTAGGGGTAGAAGAAGAAGAAGCAGAACAGCTGATGGGGTTGTTCCAATTCCTCCTCCTTTTAGGCTTGCTTGTCAATATGCGCACTTCAGAAAATTCGGAGAAAAACGAAAACGAACATGGAAATGAAGATGATTGTAGAATGGAAAGTTGTGATTACAAGCGATGGCAAATGAAAGAGGGTGTGCTTGTTGAGTCTGCAAAATCATTTTGGTTTTCCTTTGTGGGATTTCTTATTTGGGTCCTAAATGATATTAAAAACCATTTCTTTCTTTCCTTCTTCTTCTTCTGTATATCTAGTCTACTATATTCTTCTCATCGTCCTTCTCTGCTATGGATATCATAGAGTCTGAGTGAGATGACTTCCAAATTTCAATTGATAGTGGTGTTCAGTGTTTCATGGTTTATTTAGGCTCAGTTTGCTCTGCAAAGACTAGTGAAGACGCAAATTGAGAACCGCATATAGATTATTGCAGAATTATCCATACGGTAGAACCGCGAGCGATCCACAAATTGCCACGGAAAGGAAGAAATTATATTATATTATATTTAAATTGTTTAATTTATAATTTACTTGGCGTCTCTGTGGTTGTGGTGTGGCAACAAGAGACAAGAATCTTTTCAATCAGAAAGAGTCCTTGTGTATAAAGTTTTTTTTTAAATATAAAAAATTATTAACATATTTTTTAATTAGTGAATCATTATATTTTTATTAAATTAAAAAAAAATAAATACTCTTATTAATTTATTTTTAAAAAAATGTTTATTTTTTATTTACAATAATTAGGAGTAAAATTAAAATGTTATTATATTTTTAATTAGATAATTAATTTTTATTAATTTTTATAATTTGATTAAAAATATTTTATATACAGGGATGGAGGAAGTATGAGAAATGAGAAAAGTAATCTTCCAAACTGATGATTTGAAAATTAAACATGACTTGCAGGGCCTTGGCTTAAGAAAATATAGAATAATAAGGCTCTTCTTGCTGAAGAGATTTGCCATTATGATTTATTAGTTAATAAAGTTTTGTGACCCAAGTATACATTGCGTCTTTTTTAAATACAATTATCCATTATTTATAGACTGAGTCTAATGGCAAATCTTTATTGAGACTCAAAATCAAAATCACTTGTTAAGCTAATATAATCCCTTGTCAATTAATTTACGTGCTTGTTGGTTCAACCTACATTCTAATAGAGTGGAGGCATAACTTGTTAGATCTTTCAATTCTTGGAGCTTGAAGATTTAACCAAAGTGAGAGATTTGATCTCTCAATGACTAAATCTACAATAGCTAGTAAGGGAAAGAAAATATTGTTTTGTTGTTGGGAGCGAGTTGATTTCACAATGAGAATACCATGAAACCATGATATTGGATTTAAACATGACTTGAAAGAAATTCCGCTGTTCAGTTTTAAATTTTCAACTGTAATTTCAGAAATTGTGCTGTTTAATAATCACACTAAACAAAACATGGTTTGGGTTTTAATTTCAGCCTCCTATGTTCGACTGGGAGAATGTGACGAGAAGGTGATTTAGTTTTATTAGTTATGATTAAAGATTTATGGTAACAAAAATTATTTAACAGAACCTTGTAGTGTTCAATATCTAAAAAGTTAATTAATATCATACATTGACGTCATGTCTGGTCTAAAATAAAACTTCGCGCACAGTAGTGTTGTTTTGATTTTGAATTAAGTGGACCAACAAGTCATAACCTACTCGTTCTCCACATAAACATAAAATGCACCAAATCTATATCTAATAGTCATAAACAAATTAGAACATCATCAACAACAAACTTTATCCAACTAAATAAGATCAAATATATAAATTATATATAATTGTACTTTATCATTAACCAAACTTTTAAAAATTACTAACTAAAATATTTCGTTCAACAACTTCCATCAAATAAATATATTTTTTATCATCTACCCCTCTTAATATAAAATATAAAATCCACAAAACATCGCATTATTCATTACTTATGAATAATGTGCCTTATCCTTCTGACTAAATAGTGGTAGAAGTGTTAAACACAATGCTTTAGACCACCACAAAAATTGAGTCAAATGAGCACAAAACTAGGACCATCTGCAGTGAAAGACAAAATGAAAACAGGAGAAAGCATATCACATCAAAATATTCTTTCCACGACATGAACCACAATCGTTTTTTTTTTTTTTTGGCCTGACACGAACCACAATCGTTGATACTAGTCTTCTACTCTGAACTGTCACTTGAGAAAAGTAGTTACAAAACATCAATTGTACACCATCCGAGTAGATTGCATTTTGCAAGTCAACTACGAGTTAAAGAGAGTGAAGAACAAGTGATTAGCTAAAACCAAGCAATTTAGACATCACGATATGAATAAAAATAAAAGCCATGGCTGAAACTAAGAGGACCCATCACTGACTTGGCATTGTTCCCACAAGATCTCAGCCCTTTACCAGAACAGAATCAGCCTGTTTTTCATTGGCTTCGGCTTCCTCTCCTCCTTCATCGCTTTCACTTGCTCCTTGTGACTTTGCCAATCCCATAACTTCTCCAGGAGGAGGGTGGTCAAACTTGCAGGTTGCACCAAACTTGCAGGTGCCAGTTTTCAAATAATACGGACAGATTACAACACCCTGTCAAGATATTCAAACAATCAGGTTATATTTGCTTATTTTAAAAATTTTTAATCACTCTTCCTAAAAAAAAAAAAATAATTAAGTTCCTTGGTTTTTTGGAAACCACATTGGGCTCCAACAATAGGTTCAGCTACCATTTAACGGCAGATTTATGTCCTGATAGACATGTAAAACCTTGAAGTTTAAAATAAATAAAAGGTGAACAGCTCTCTTTATCTTCCTCAGCTCGCTTCAAGCCAAAAAGTCACAAAAACAGAGGTGAATTGTGGTGTCTGCCACACAAACTGGAAAAGATCGAGAAATATCACGGTTCCTTGGATAGTCGTCAGAAGCAAGTGAAATTAGACAAGTGGATGTTAATACTTAGTAGAGAAGTCCTAGGTTTGCCAGAACAGTCGCAATATGCACCTGACCAACCTTCCCGGCCATATTTATTGGACATGTCTGCTCAGTCGACTTAATGATCAGCAACCTACTAAGATTACTTACTAATGCTCCAGCAAATGATAGATGCGGGTTGAGAACTTGTTCAAATTCCAGCAGAATTTAATTTCAGAACTTGAATTTATCTCATCAATCTTGATATAACTAGCAGTTTTGTGAGAACTCTTTTAGACAATGCTATTCTAAGAGCTAAAAATGCTATAGAGAAATACGAGCGGTGCATGAAATGATCCAGACAAATCAAAAATTATAGTGCTTGAGGGAAATTCAAAGAATTGGGTTAAACTTAATGTACATCAAACACAAAGCAGCTACATTTTTAAAGCACAAGTGCTTCAAAAAATGCATATGTCAGTGTGGAACACCAAACTAACCTCTCTCCTTGGTAGTCCTGCAAGAGTGAGTTTAACAGCTTGCTGTGAGGCTGAATTTGACAGTGATGGAGCTGACCGATCAATTGGGTGATGGAACTTACATCTTTCCCCAAATTTACACTCTCCAGTCTTCATATAGTACTAAAACATTGTAGATTGTATTATAGATATGTCAATCGACATTAAGCCATTGTTCAGGAACAAAATATGGAGAGGAAAAACAAAAAAGAGGAGAGAATTAGGAAGTGAAAAGTGAGTGTCTTCTCTCTTTAAATTTCATATATATGGGAGAAATATAAATAAAAAAATGAAAGATAAAATTTTGAATTTACATATTTAACAAAAGTCAACCACTTAGATTATCTCAATCATTTACCTGCTTATAAAACAATTTTCTGTTATCCTTATCAGTTAAAGAAAAAGACTTTATAGACTTGCCTACCATAACAATCTAAGTTATCTGAATATAATAGAACATCTGCAACTGCAAATTTAATACCCTAAATTAGGTTATTTAACACCAAGTAACCCAGACAATTGAAAGTAAGATCAAAATCTCCACTGGAATAAATTAAGTACTTACATCACACTCAATCTGTCCTGGTCGTTGGGGATAGACAGTTGATGCTATTCCCACCTGAGACTGGAAAGCAAGTTACATGGATCAGTTGAACTGAATATGAATACACATACAATGATATCTCGTGAAAATTACAAGAGTTCAAGTACAGTATATAGATACTTCTCCACAAGATTAATAGCAAGCACAATCTTTTTTCAACAATTTTGTTTGCGGTTGATGCTATCATTGGGGGTAAGGATTAGGTTTAAAATCCAGATATTGCCCTCCTAGTTCTAAATGTTACAACAACAACAACAACAACAACCTTTATCTCACTAGGTGGGGTCGGCTACATAGATTACAAGACGCCAGTGTGCTCTATCATTTATTAAGCTTTTAGGAATATTATTAATTAAGAGATTGCATTTAACAACTTCCAAGAATATTCTCTTAGGCCTTCCTCTATCCCTCTTAATAGGGCTCAAAGTAATATGTTCCGCTCTTCTCACTGGTGCCTCCTGCAGCCTTCTTTGTACATACCCAAATCATCTCAAACGATTTTCTATCATTTTTTCCTCAATAGGTGCTACCTTCACTTTTTTGCGTACGTGCTTATTTTGAATTTTATCTTTACGTATATGTTCACACATCCATTGTAACATTCTCATCTCTGTTGCTTCAACTTCATGCTCTTGCTGTCCCGTTAGAGCCCAACATTCACTACTATATAACATAGCCATTCTGATAACAATACGATAAAACTTTCCTTTAAGTTTATTAGGCGTCTTACAGTCGCAAATAACTCCTTTAGCTTTTCTCCAATTAAACCACTCAACTTGAATCCTATGTAAAATATCCCCATTGATTTCGCCATCATTTTGAATAATAACTCCCACATATCTAAACTTTTCCACTCGAGGTATAATTTGATCTCCCAATTTCACTTCCAAATTACTGTCGACTAGTCTCTTACCAAATTTACAATATAAATATTCAGTCTTACTCCTACTTAGACGAAAACTTTTCAACTCCAATGTCCTCCTCCATAACTCAAATTTACAATTAACCTCTTCTCTTGTCTCTGTTATAAGAACTATATCATCCCTGAAGAGCATACACTTGGGAATTTTCCCTTGAATATATTCCGTCAAAACATTTAGGATCAAGTTAAATAGATAAGGACTCAAAGATGATCCCTGATAGGATATCTAAAGGACCCCCAATGCCAACTGCTCCTTCAAAGAGGAAAAAGAATTACCATATATAGAAGATGATAGTGTCATCTGATAGTGTAGATTTTACTCACAAAAACAGTTCATATTTCATCTGAATGTCTGTATATCTTTAGACAAGGATTTCTCCCTATAGTTGAATTCATTAAGATTGAACATTCAAAAGAAAATTCCAGAACAATCCAAAAAGTTGCACAATACAGCCACACAAAAACCACAGCTATTTACTTGATACTCATTAAGAATGAACAACATACATCAAGCAAAGAGATAATTCTGCACTATCTTTATTTTCAGATTGTCAGGAGAGAGAGAGAGAGAGAGAGAGAGAGAAACAGAAAACAGAAAAAAAAAGAATAATCAACACTACTAGGATATCAAAAAGAAAATAGTCATTATAAAAAAAATAGTTACATTTATGTTCTTTTGAAACATGATGCACAGCCCCAAGTTGGCAGATTCTTGTAGCATATTCTGGTATTTTTTTCCATGGAAATTAAAAAATTTTATCCAAAAGTGTACAAGATGCATCAAAGCCAATCTAATGGACACCAACATAGTATGGGATGCCTAGTCTCATGTTGAGTAGCAAGGGTTGCTCTATGGCGTGTCAAAAATGGGTATATAGAGCATGTCAAAAATGGGTAGGTTCACCAAACTAGATAGCCAACTTTTAGATAAAGAATCTCCATCATGTTTGGGTGCCAATTGCAGTAGTTGGCAGCTTTAAGAAGGACTACCCGTGAAGGGTTTTGACTAGAAAGCCAAGAAAAATGTTGTTGAGCATAACAACCAAAATACCCACTCTCCAAAGGTACTAATTGGTGGAGATAAAGTCTATAGGATGCTTAGTCCCACAATACGTGATAAGACCAGCTCTATGGGTTACTAAAATGAATTGGTTCTTCTTCTTCAATATATAGCTTTTGAGGGAGGATACCCAACACCATTTTAGTGCGCCCATTGAGAACCCCTATCCAGGCTGAGGTTGAGAGACTTAAAACATCTAAAAAAAATACACACACACACACACAAGCATATCCATGCTTTATAATAGCAAGCAACTCATCAAGCACACAGCTGCACTTATGAAGATCAACTATTGACTAATATGCATAGAACCCATTTCCAACCCATATTTCACACCACCGCAAAAGCACAATAGTATAGCCCCTACTCGTGCTCCCTACATCAAGCCAGGCTTTTCTTTCAATATTCTGATTCAACATCACTAGGAAAATATTTATTTTAGACCCTATATTCTCTGCATGCAAGAAGCAATTTCAGCCCCCTCTTCCCCCAAAAGAAGAAGCAGTGAACATGGATCAGATCTTTGCCATGAGCATTAGTCAATACTATCATGTAAAAATAACAACTTTCAAATTACCGTTGCACTTGACAATCTGGGGTCAATAGCTTGATAAATTGATGCCACTGGATTAACAATTCCAAAGTTAAAATTAGCAGCTGATGATGTCAAAACAGAATGGCCTAGCCCAGCAGCAGGTGGATTAATTACTGCACCAAAGTTACATCCGTATAAAATGGCAGTTCATTAAACATGAGATTATTAACACCCAACATCATACACTTACCATTCCTATCAGGATGATTGTAGCGGCATGTAGCACCATATTTGCAACTGATTCATATGAATGAAGAATATTAACAACCTTTCATCCATTAAATAAACCTACTAAAACCAAAGTATGAATATTTACCTGCCAGTTTTCATGTAGAATGGACAATCTACTTCACCCTGTCAGAAGAAATTTGCAAATAGGCTTTTCAAAATATGAAGCTAATAAAGTAGTAAATTCATATAATTCAGTCAAGCGGCACCTGATGGATATCCTGTGTTATAAAGTATTATACATAAGCATAAAAAAAAAATGAAGATAGCTTCAAGGTTTTTTCCACCTCAGCTAACAAAATGAGCACATATGACACCTCAGCAAAAGCTTTTAAATCACAAAACCAAACAAAGACCAGTTTATTGAAGCAACTTGGAAAATGAGTTTCCCAGCACTTAGCGTCACAAATAAATAATAGTTTTTAACAGCCCCAACCAGTATAATACCAAGGAACATTAGAGTCATAATGGGGGGAAATATGATACTTGTATAGATCACTGTTCCTTTTTGGATCTCTTAATTACTAACTCCATCCCAAATTATAAGACAATTTTGGAGGTGATTCAGTGCCTCAAAATATAAGACAATTTGACAAAAATAAGATTTCATTAAATTTACTTTTCCAATATTACCCTTCCCTCCTTATTACTCTCTCTCTCTAATCATTTAAGGTTATTCTCCCTTTGGTCTTATTTATATGTTACTTCCAGCATGTCTCACCGGAACTAAGGAAAACATTAAACCTCATTAGCTTTATCTTAAAATTTAATAAGTTTCTACCTCTATCCTTAAAAAGAACAAAAAGAATTATGTTTAATATTTTTTTCCTAGCATTTAATAACGACAAAAAAGTAAAGATAAACATAGAAAATAGTAAAGTGCCCTATAAATAGCACCAAAATTAATATTATCTCTCTGCCCTATAAATAGGGCTAAAGGAATATAAAATGAAGGGCATTTTTGGATATTTAAATTTTTATTTAGAAAAAATAAAGTTGCAAAGTGTATTTAATGAGCTTTATTAGTATACGTAATTTTGTTTGGATTTGTCTTATAAATTGAGAGGGAGGGAGTTTTTTTTTTCCATCAATCGAGAACAAATACCAAAACAGATAATTACCAGTCTCATAGGAAGTCCTTTGCTATTATGCAATACAGGAGCAGTGTACGAACTAAAAGGATTAGACAATTGTGTATCCCCTGAAGCTCCAGTAAGATTAACAATCAAATGGGTCTGCTCAATGGCACCATTCTGTTCTTCAGACAGCTGAATCTGTATGTCTTTTGGGTGATGAAATTTACAGGTAACACCAAACTTGCACTTTCCAGTTTTCATGTAGAACTGCATAAATGCAGAATACAGTAAGTTATAGATGATTAGAGCTTCAAGTGAAGGTAAAAGATATTATATCTAACCGCGCATGGGGGCTCTGAAGGCCTCTCAGGTAAGACAGAAACATCAGCATTTTCAAACAAATGCTTTGGATGATTAAACTTGCACCTTGAACCAAACTTGCATCTCTTAGTTTTGAGGAAGTACTGCAACAAATGGAACCCACAATAAATTAGAAAATGTTCCTAATGCATCTGAAGGGAGAAAAATGAAAATCAGTGCAAATCCTACTCACTGGACAATCTGGTTCTCCTGGTCTCTCAGGAAGAGCCTCACTTGTAACAACATTTGGAACCTAAAAAACACATAAATTGAAGATATGTATTTGTATAAATCAGCAACTTCATTTTGAGGAATTGAACTTTTTTAATGATTATATTTAAACTTGATCAACCCATGAGCACAACAAAAACTAGCTTAGCATACCAAGCAGCCCCTGCAGATCCTAAACTCATATCAAATACTCCTCCCATTTTTCTCGATAGAAATCTCTCACTCAATCCTTAAAGAAACATGAGATACTTGAAGAAAAACTGATTGGCCACTAACAGCTAAAATCATTCTTCTTTTTTGTTTTTTTGGTAGATTAAACATTCTTTATGGTCAAGCAAATGACCAACTTTGCGGTTCAAATAGACCAACTTATTTAGTTTCTTAGCTTTGATTTTGACATTGCTCCAAAAAAACATGAGGTGCTATAAAAATAACTTTCCTACAAAAACAAAACATTAAAAAAAAATGTACATAAACTTTGCTTTAAAATGCAGAACCATATTCAGAGGAAATATTTATTTTATAGGTGACCAGACACACTTGCCAAACAGATATAGATGTCTTGATCTCAGCTACCAGCTTCACTCATAAAAGAGAATGAGTGGTCATTAAGATCAAGGGAACATGATACAGGTGAAAACTTTTTACCAGGAGAGAGGAAAATTATAGGGATGTTTTCCAGTCATCCCAACATGAGATGAAAAGATTTCTGATCATGCATAAGGGTTATAATCTCTTCCAATTGCAGAAGAATGAACATTTGCAAAAATCCTATCAAAACAATCAGCGATAAATCTGGAAAAGAATGACACACAGCAAGAGTATTTTGCACATCAAAATATGACTACACTAATTAATCAACTCAATGAAGCATTTCATTGTGTTGAGACTTCAACATACAGTTGTTAGAACCACTACCTCCGTTTTTGGTCCACAGAAACAATATTTCAATGTGCTCACTAGAACAATAAAAAGCAAGCACAGGACACTAACCTCAATCTACATCCTAGCCAGCAGGCATAGACCATAAGCTGAAAATTGGGCTACTCCCAAATTATTTTACTTACACCATCTATGACATTGTACAGTAATAAGCAAGAACTACCATGCAGCTGGTGATAAGACTTGTCCATCACCAGCCCTGGGTAAGGTTTAGAACCAGGTTCTACCAAGCAGCTTCAACCTCTTACTAGTACAAATGGATGTCATATCGACAATTTCAATACCATTGCCATCCACATATTATGTAGAGAAGCACAAATAACTTCTATAATTTCAAGCCTCCAGCTCAACCACAGGCATGGCCTCATATTCACCATCAAGTCCGTAGTGCTAAAAGTAACAAGAGTTTCTCTCTATAGCAAGATCAAGCCATCCCAAAGTTGGTTTGTACAACAGAAACACCAAATAAAAGGAAATTTTAAAACAATTAAAAATGTTTTCTTCAAAGTTCAAAATTTCAATTCATCATGTACAGATAAGTATCATACAAATAAATATTTTACATACATAGAAAACAACCATATACGATAAATGTAAATGGTAAGTTCTGGCCTTGGTTAAACTAGTATATAAATTTTATATAAATTCATTCATATATATGTATTCAAGTCATATATCTGAGTATAATATACAAGTCACTTTTCAATATGTGATAATAAATGTACGGTATAAAATAACATATACATTTCATTCACATAAATAATGGCAATAAACGGTCACCTCTTTCCAATCTGGGATTCCACCCTCAGGAACCCAAATAGGATGGTCAAATATGCAGCAATCTCCAAATTTACAGGTTCTTGTGAGCATATAGTGTGCACAATCCTTCTCTCCTGGTCTCTGTGGATATATAGGCAAATTGCTTGTACTCTCGTATCTAGGGCGCTTTGTTAATGAATTCGTAGAATACCATGCTTCACTTTGCCCAATTGTGTTATGGGTTTGCAAAACGGTTGGATGGTAGAGCGCTATAGTACATAATAGGCAAGTATGTACAAGAAAACCAAACCGAATATATGTTACTTGATAAGTTTGACTTAGAAAATAATTTTGAATTAAGAGAACACACTTAGCAAATATGTAGAATATATATCATAGCGAAAATGAGATAAACTCTATTTAATTTGCAAATGGTACAGATAATGAATTAGAGTCTAATATATGAGTACTAAAGTTATATGAAAAAAAAAATGCCAATTATTAAGGCTCAGTGCATATTCAGTAAAATATATATGATGGTAAAACTATGTACTCTTTCAAATCAGAAAAATCAAATTGGCTTCATCAGCATTAGGCCATAGAAGCCATCATAAAGTAAAACCATTAATGCAACATCCTTTTGTTAGCAACCTTAAATCTACAATGAAAGAATAATTAGAGTAAAACTATTTAGTCATTATTCATTCATTTGCTACACTAACTACTGATTTGAAGGCCTTGCTGAAAACTAGTTTAATTCCAGTAAATTTCATCCAACTAGAACCATAATTGCAGACCAAATACATCAAAATCATAATTTCCTCTAGATTTAAATAATTGCAACATTCATGCAATAGATGCGTGATAAAACACTCCATTGAAGAGACAAAGACTAACTACAAACAAAACAAACCTCCAGAATTTATCTTCACGAGTTCAAGATTCAGTTAGACCATTGTTACCCTTCCTAGTTTGTTATTGCCGTTAAAATGCATAAGTAGAGATTAAAACACCGCATTCATGATGCTTCCTGCCAAAGGTTTGTTTCCAAGAATTTTATTGGCATTCAAGTATCAATTCAATATAGATATTCTTTGCTTCACTTGGCATGTTAGGCAATTTAAAACATGATCAAACACAAGAAAATATGAATTAACTTCAATATATACTTTGAGCATTCATGAATAATATTGTTTAAGGCAACGCGTACAACACCTTTCAAATGTTATTCCTGAGAATATACTCATGACAGACTATACAAGCCCAAGCAAGTTGGGTAGAAGAAAGACACTTCATCTTTATTACCAGATGTATATGCAGTTCTTACTTATGGATTGTCGGAAGCGCAATGTATGGTTAGATAGCAAAACAAGATGCAAGATGCGGCATCCAACCCATTATTACCAGTTCATCGATACAATGAAAAGTTGGTCCAACAACCCCAGACAAAGAGTAAAGAGTCTAATTTTGATCCACGAACTTCAACTATCAGATTCAGAAGACAGCATTCCCGCTCTCATATATGATTTTACCTCTAAACTTAATGTCTATTTATAGACTTTCCCACTTATAAAGAAATCCACTAGATCCTGCAAAGAAGAAACCCTTACAAAGAATGAAAACAAGAGACTAAACTAACCATCAGAGGAGCGCTTCATGTTAACTATCGAATCCAGTGAAGCCGACCCAACATTTGCAGCAGCGGCAGCTGCAGCAATAGCAGCAGGCCAAGAAGCTTGAGATAGTAACTGGGAAGCGGTGGAAGATGTTTGCCCGGCGGCGGCACTGGAGAGTCTGGTAGAAACACCAGGTGGGCCAATGTCGGCATCGGAAGCGGCGTAAGAGGAGTATCGAATAACGGCGTCTTTTCGTTGAGGATAATACATATCGGCAGAAAGATACCGGCTGGAGGAAAGGGTACTGGCAGTGCTTGTGGCAGCGGCGGCGGAAGGCGGTGAAGCTCCTCCGTAGGTAGGGCTATAGGCATAGAGATAGATTTGATTTGCCATCAAAGTACGGATTTTTCTTTCACAAAAACATCTACTTTATCTTCCAATCAATACTGAGGAGTGAGATTGCAACTATGCCTCCTACTCAGTGGCAAGAGGAAGTATCGTTTTCGAGCTTTCTTCTTCTTAAAAACTTATTATTAAACTCTTTTACTGGGGAAAAAAAAAAAAGCTTATCATTAAACCAAAACAGAAAATATTTTGTCTGGAAAACAATAACATGATTCTTCTAATTATGCCTATCTAAGTATCTGCTTGTATAAAATAAACTAATTACAGGATAGAAAATTAATTAATAGAAAATATATTTACATTTCAGTTATTTCACTTTGACTAATATTTTCATTTTCTTCTTAAAATTTATATAAATCTCTCTTAAAATAAAAAAGTTATACTCCCTTCATTTAAAAATATAAGAAATTTTTTGAAGAGTTGGAGATTCAAAAAATATAAGGCATTTTTAGTCTTTCGAGATGTAATCATTATCTTTTTTTAAAGTACCCCTATTGATAATAATTTTATATTTATTATAGAGTATTTAATAAAGGTAAATATAAAAAGATAGGATTAGTCAGAAAATAAATAACTATTTTATTAGAGGGTAAGATCTGATTAAAAATGCCTTATATTTTTTAACGAAGGAAATATAATAAATCTTCTTACATTTTTTATTTTATTTTTATTTTATTTACCTTACCATTAATTGATTATTAAATTAGATATTTTGAATCAAAATATCTCTTTATAGTATAAATATTATTTAAACATCATTTAGGTTGTTAAAATAATTTTGATGCATGTATTTCTAAATTTTTTTATCATATGTTAATTTATTTTGTTAAGTATACTTATTTTATTTATAACTATCTAAAATTTAAATACATAAAGCGACTGAAGCAATATTTTAAATGCGCGCACTCACACATAAAACTTAATTAATGAAATAGGGTAACTATTAGAATATAAGGGGAAATTTATGATTTTAAAATTTTCAATATAATTATAATTAAGATTTTTAATAAAAAAATTTAGTGATATTTAAAATTGAAATAAAGCATGGGTTTTGAAAACAAAAAGATATTTTTATAATTATAAAAAAAAATGGAGAACTCATTTCATTTTACTCTTAAGTTAACCATCTTAAATAAATTAATACTTCCTTTATTTAAAAATATAAGTCATTTTTAATCGAATCTTATCCCTTAATAATATAATTATCTACTTTCAAATTAATCCTACTCCTATTAAACATCTTACAATAAATATAAAGTAATTCATTTAATAGGGGTACTTAAAAAAATAATAATTACATTTTAAAAAATTAAAAATATTTTACATTTTTAAACATTTAATTTTTTAAAAAATGTAAGTAACGGAGGGAATACATACCAATAGTTTAACAAGAGAATTACAAAATTCTATATAATGTAAATATAATAAAACTTTAAGAATGGGAAATAACTATAAATTATTAACATCATATCATATCATATTCAACTTTGCATCTTGTTTGCTTTGTACACCACTTAGAATAATGCCGTTGTATACAGGCCAAGGGCTAGTATAAATCAAGGCTACTCACCCAAACTTTTTCAATTGACATTTATTTATAATTATAATATAATAGTTGTATAAAGTGTAAATGTCAATATAGTAAGAAATTTCAAAAAAAAATTGGGCTAGATATATAAGAATATTCGAAAATTTTAAATTAAACAGTAAATTTATGGATCAAATGGATTGGCAGGAAAAATTAATCAGAAACATGCTCAGTTCAATTCACTAGAACATTCAAGAAGTTAATTTTTCGGGAAGTGTAGAAATAATCAGTTGTTTTTATTAAACCTGGGAAAGTCGGACACATTTTTAAATAAATGCAGTATTTTTTTTATGGTAAAGATAAAATATCCTTTTAACTGAATTTATTTTATTTTTTAAAAGGCAAGTCTAAAAATATAAAATAAATATTAAAGAAAAAACTTATTTGAATTTTTTTGAAGGCATATGATAATTTTAATAAGTTTTTGAAACTCAACTTATTTAAACTGTTTCTTATATTAAAAAAAGCTTATTTGAATTTTTCTTTGTAAGCTACTTTTTTGTAAGTGAGGATGCACAAAAAACAAATAGGACATGAATTTAGTTTAATTCAAAGTCTAACCTCTTTCAAAAAAAAAAAAACTAGATTGGATAACATGTAATATAGTTTGATTCAAGCTTAATTAAAATTAAATAGAATTGAACTTGACTCATAAAATTAAGAGATTGGTCTCAATAGTAGCAATACATGCAACCTTGCTACCTAAAGCAAGAGCCTTTTCCTTTCCACTATCATCAACCACAACAAAATTCCCTTGTTCTATCCACAAGCTCTTTTGGAATTTAGCTTGAAATAGAGCTGTAAAATTCTCACCACATGCATCCATTTACCTCAATGAGATTAGTACCACAAAGAGAAGCGACCTTCATGATCCTTTGGTTGTCTTGCAAGACCACGTCCTATTCCTATTTTGCCCGCAACAAATTCTTTCCTCCTCCTCCCATGTCAGCTCATAGTAATCTCAAAATAAAATCCTACTTATCTACTGTTAAAATTTTTTTTCTTTAGAATGATGATAGAAGGATCTTTCCTTTTTCAACTAAGTATATTGTAGAGCCAAGGGAAACTCACAAAAAACACGTAGCAATTTGTCTATTATAGACTAATCATAGAATCTCAGAAACTCACCTGAATGGAGAAGAAGCAACGAGAAGATAAGATTGAGGTTGAGGTCACACAGGCCAATGTGGATAGACCACCTTATTCCTTTACTCCCATTATATAGCATCCTATTTGCTAAGTTGATATTTTTATCATTACATTATACGTAAAATGAATTTTATTGTTGTGTGTTTAGGAGGAGGGAAACATATATGAAATGATGTACTGGACGAATTGTTTCTACTAGAAGCGAAGTCACAAACTCGGACTTAGTTCCTATTACACAACAAAAGTACAGAGAGAAGAGATGGGAGTGAGCTAATGATAATTAATGCAGGGAAGTGAGAGTGTTTCTCTCTTGCCTTTCCTAAAAACCAACCATCCACACAGTGATTTTGTGGAGAACTACGCATACTATTCCTACTCAGAATTAAAAATGACAATGGGAATATTACACTTATGGACCCAATTTTATTATGCACAAAGACCCAGACTTTTCTAATATTCTAATAAAGCCCCCACTCTAATTTAGGCTCATATATCTTGAGCTTTGATCCATCAAGGGTAAATAACCCAACAATAATAATGTTTACTTCTCTGGTTCTCCTTTACAGATTTTGTTTAAACAGTTATACTTCTATTAATAAGTCATCTTACAAAATTCATGAAGCAATTAATATATTTTTTAATAATACTTTTTGTATGGATAGTGGTAGTAAAAAAAATAGACACCATTGGCTAATTATGGTGGGAAAAGAAGATTGAAAGATTTAGTAAAATTATGCTAGAATTTATTATAATTAATTAGAACTATTTTAGAAAAAAAGAAAACATTAATTAACTTAAGTGAAAATCAAGTATAGGTATCGTATAAGAGACTTTTCTGCAAATAAGTCCCATAAATTTTTTTTCTTTGGTAGTAAAAGAGGCTAAAAGGCCTAAAAAAAATAACAATATCCCCTTTCAAAAGTAACCCCTAGACAATATGATAAAAAAGCCATATGCACTTCATTAATAACCCAGCGCCAAACCTGCAGTCCAACTCCCAGCTTCAAGCTAAAATTAGCTAATGCATTAGCACAACCATTCCCCTTCCTAGGAGAATGTGTTACCAAAACTTGCCACTCCTTATCACACAAATCCCAGATCCTCTTCAACAACCTGCTACTCATGCTACTATGATCACAACCCCTCCTCTGCATATGTTTTATCACAATAATTGAATCCACCTCCAACACAATCCTTCTCAAACCCAAAGCTAATCAAAGCTTCAACCCTTCAAACATACCCTATAGTTCAACTTCAATGGTCGTGCTCTTCCCTAAATTTTTAGTATAACCAAAAATCCACCTTCCTATATGGTGTCTAACAATCCCTCCTCAGCTACTCAAACTAGGATTACCCTTACTAGTATCATCAATGTTCAACTTGCACCTACCCTCATTAGGAGGTAACCAACCAAAAGAGCCTTTCAACTTTCTTGGCCTTTAATGTACAGGTTTACATTTATCAGCTTCTACTACCTCACTGCTAAAACTGATAGCCCTTCTGCATAGAGTCTCATCATTCATTTGATATCCACCATCAATAAAAATCTTCTTATTTCTCTTCTTCCACAAAAACCAACAAACAATGCCAAACAAAATCCTCCATTGAACTATACTCTTCTCTTGCAAGTCCTACCTTAAGTTCATGCATAGCTACCATTCTAGATTCAAAAAGAAAAAGCAACTTTTCTTTTCATAAGGCACTAATTTCCTCCAAACCTCTTTACCTACACTACATTCCCTTACTACATGCAAAGCTGTTTCCACATTTCCACATAGAACACGTACATCTGACACTCCCCCTTCTATGCCTCAAGTTGTTTGTGTGCAATCTTTCATGCATCAACAACCATAAAAACATTCTTACCCTTTCTGGTCCAGGCCACTTTCACATCAAACTCCATTTGCTATCCTATAACCCCCATTGAACTTCCACCATCATCTTGTAACAATTCTTGACAGTATACTAACCAAGAGCACCACCCATCTACTTTACCCTATCCTCACTACTCACAACATCAAGTGGCAAAACACCACTAAGTTTACATCTTATTTCATCAGGTGGCACTCCATCAAGCAACTGCATTCTCCATTCACCAAATTCATTAACAACCTTACTAATCCTCCAATCCCTCCACTTATCAAGTATATCACACATGGCTTCATTAATTAAAACACTCCCCAAGCCAATCCATTCATCATTTTAGAGACTAGTATCATTACTATTCTTAATTTCAATCTAGATGTTACCCTTTAGATGCCTCCAAATCAAGCCAATATCCTTCCAAATAGCAAAATCAGTATTCTTAGCCTTAATATCATCCCCAAACATTAAAACCCCCATTATA